CGCCTACATGCATACATGTGCCCACACAAACTCACATAAGCATACATGGACGCACGTTTGGATGGGCATATAAATGAATATATCCAATCATTTTATTCCTTCTGAAATCAATTTGATTTTGTATTTCTGGTCGGCAATGGAGAGTTGATTCGTTGTTTGCGTTCGAGGCAAGTTTGATTACATTCTTAGAATGCATCCCAGCTCTGATTTCGTCCGTCAAGCTTTATGACAGACGAGAGGCCATCATATATGTTTTTTCTTGGGTGGATTTTGATACTGTCATTGTGGTAGCCGCCTTCGATCTCAGTGAAAATGTGCTGACAATTTGGAAAAAATCTCTTCATCCTCGGTCACTGGGTTATCTCTCAAGTATGTGCCCACACTTCTTATTCACGTTCTACGGATGGCATAGTAACCTACTCTATATGAATATAAGTAGTTTGGTCGATTCTAGTGACAAACACATGCTTGCCCCATCGGGATATGTGAGATAATGGCCAATCAAAAAGAGGGTGAACACATCGCATATATCTGACCTACTGGTAGTCTTGAAAAACGACTTATAAACGACACATAAGTAGTGTTATAACAAATACAACATTGATTCTTGTAAAATCCCACCACTGAATGTGATATAGAAAAATGATTGGCCTCCTTTGAAATTCACAAGGGCGCTCGTGACAGTCTGGCGTTGAGGTTGAAGTGTCGAGATGATGCGCTGCACTATCGTGGCTCAAAACCCGCTGAGGACGCTGACAAGACCGGGTCGGGCAAGGTCGAAACTGCAGTCTACTCCTGCTCGGATGAGAATGCATTTTTGGCAAGCAAAACCAAGTGAAACTCAATTGAAATCTGAAGTCTACAGATGCAATTGTGGACAAATTCGACCACCAATCCTTTTATCATTTTAAGCAAAATGACGTGAACACATCTCATACATGCTTTCATTTCACTTGGGTTCAAGTGACCAGACAACTGGCTACTTTATAAGTGCTAAATTAGTTAATATATCTGGAAAGCAGTAGTGCCTGAATAGGAAAATTATCAGCCATGGTCGATTAAGGTGATGTAATAAATGAATGTGCCAACCTAGATTAAAGTGATCATACAACTGACTACTTACTAATTTATGAGTAGTCTGAATATGAACTTGACCAGCCATGGTCGTTTAAGGTAGTTTAAGGACTGACAGGTGATTGAGCATCCGGAAACCATCAGTATTCACTCAGGCAAGAAGTACTGATAACTTCGTAACGTACCGACGGTAAATGTGACGTGTCAACTATCCTTAAATCAATTATACTCATGCAGACTACTTGCTATTTGATGAGTAGCGTTTGTGCTGAACTCGTGGTGAATCTGACCTCGGTTCCCGCGTCAGCTGTACGCCTCGACTGACCAAAGAAGAGGCCACATGCAAGCCAGAACGATGCCCCTCGCGGTTGTTAGGCGACAGCGTGTGCCTCCCGCGAACGCCCCACCTACCCTCCCACTCTACTACCTGCTCTCGTGGCAGCGATAGCTTCCTGCCCAGCTGTTTCCGACCATGCGGACAGACAGACCAGACAGACCAGACCCGGGTCTCGTGGTTCACGCGAGGAATACCGCATGTGGTGGCATTCCGTTCACTCTCGCGCTGACATTTGGACCGTCCTGTCTGGGCAAGTTTATGCTTGCCCATTTGGGACGAGTTTTTGCGTGAAATACGGCCGAAAAAGTACTCCAAAATCTTTAAGCTTACCACCTCTACAAATACAATATTTCGCACCTTGCGACTTTTTGCTCGACTCCAATGCCTCTACCCGTTGCACTGCGTGAAGCCGGGCGGTGCAAGGAGCATGCACTCTTTCGACAGAACCGATTAAAATTAAAAGTACTCGACACTTGCAGAACAAAATGGCTACACCTTTTCGGCTTTTATAACACTCGCTAGATTCACACCCCCTTTTGGGGAAGGCGGCAATTATAGGCTCAAAGATGGCGAGTGTTGTCGCAGAGCTGGGACTATTGCGCACCGAAAACCGTAAGTCGCATCAGTCCTTGCCTTCCAACTTCGGCTGTTGCCATGGCGTCAACATGGAAGTCGGCAAATTCTCGAATTTGACACTCTGGCTTGCCGTGATGGAAACGATGCCATAAATTGACACAACAATCACCAAC